CTTTGACTCACCCATTGAGTCTGTGGCACACTTACCCAGGGTACATTGGCTTTGACCTCCCCACGAGTCTGTGGCACACTTACCCAGGGTACAGTGGATTTGGCCTCCCCTTTGAGTCTGTGGCACACTTACTGTACAGTGATTTTTTAGTCTTAAAAGCCAGGTACATGTACATGTAGAATTTACTGAAATCTGGTCTGTTTATCAACTATCAAGCTTCCGGTGATCGGTTGCCTAATTATCTGGGTAAAATCTTAAAGATATTGACTGGTTGGTCATGTGACTAGGATATTCTATTGCTATGAAATTTTGAACACTCGCTGTTTCTTTCTGTTTTAAAAATCACTTGTTCGCTACTACAATGTACAAGGAAGTACATTTTGGACAGAAATATTTCTTTTGATAGAGTATAAAGTATACCATACAGTACAGCATTTATGCTAATGTTGTTGGATTTTATTGCAGATTATAGTACTAGTACACAAACACTGTGTTTGTCTCTCTCAGTCAGTATCTGAATATTCCAGATTTTCCATTGTCCACGTTCTCAATTTCTATCATCTATTAAAAAGATTCAAAATTCAATGTATGAACATATTCAACAATGTGTTTGGCTAAAATGTATCCCTGTGGTTTCAGATTTAACTAAAATGTTGGCTCAACCATAAACTCTGGTCATTTACTTTATAAAATTGTATTCAGGTTATTATTTGTTGCATTAAGGTTATTATTTTTGTATAAAAGTTTATTATTTATTGCATTCAGGTTATTATTTGTTGTATTCAGGTTATTATTTGTTGCATTTAGGTTATTATTTTTATATCAAGGTTATTATTTGTTGCATTCAGGTTATTGTTCATTCAGATTATCATTTGTAGCATTCAGGTTATTATTTGTTGCATTTAGGTTATTATTTTTGTATCAAGGTTATTATTTGTTGCATTCAGGTTATTATTGTTCATTCAGGTTATCATTTGTAGCATTCAGGTTATTATTTGTTGCATTTAGGTTATTATTTTTGTATCAAGGTTATTATTTATTGCATTCAGGTTATTATTTGTTGTATTCAGGTTATTATTTGTTGCATTTAGGTTATTATTTTTGTATCAAGGTTATTATTTGTTGCATTCAGGTTATTGTTCTTTCAGGTTATCATTTGTAGCATTCAGGTTATTATTTGTTGCATTTAGGTTATTATTTTTGTATCAAGGTTATTATTTATTGCATTCAGGTTATTGTTGTTCATTCAGGTTATTATTTTTGTATCAAGGTTATTTTTTGTTGCATTCATTATTAGTCTTCACACTCAGGTTTATGAGATTTTTTTTCAATGAGCATTTATGTATGTACATGTATAACTGTATTTACAGGGACTGTGTGGCTATTTTGATATCTTCTTTGATAAAGATTGTGAAAATAAGGTAAATACTCAAAGTTATTTATTTATTCATATTTATTTATTTATTTATTTATTTATTTATTTATTTATTTATTTATTTATTTATTTATTTATTTATTTATCAATTAATTAATTAATTTATTTATTTATTTATTTATTTATTTATTTATTTATTTATTTATTTATTTATTTATTTATTTATTTATTTATTTATTTATTTATTTATTTATTTATTTATTTATTTATTTATTTATTTATTTATTTATTTATTTATTTATTTATTTATATTTTATCAGTTCTTGTTTGATTTGAACAAAGTCTATACATGGGAACTGATAATTTAACCTCACTATTCTTTTGTTGTCCATCATCAAAATCAAGTGTGTCTGGCATTCCAGAATTGGATCTCAGATCGAGTGTCGCTCAAAATTGGTAACACAAATTTGATGTATGCTGCTATCTAAGTCAAAATAACTAACTGTCGGCCATTTTGTTATAACAAAGATTTTTTCAAAGCCATACTGTAATACTTTATTTTCGCTTGGAATTTATTTTCGCTATTTTCGCTGAAGGGATGATTCCGTGAAAATAAAATCCAGCGAATATACTTTTTTTCCTATATTTCATATTAAACTCATCAAAAATCAGTGAAAATAAATTCCAAGCAAAACGCCCAAAAAGCCTTTTCAGCGAAAATAAAGTATTCCACAGTATTTCTGACTTGCCTTGATCGATCCTGTTCAGACACATGTATCCATGCATAATGCCACATACACCGGTATGCTGATACATTCATTACACATTCCATTTCAAAATGGTCGAATGATGCTCATTTTAAAGTTAAAAAATTGAAATCATGTTGTTCCACCTTCCAGAATTGAATCTCAGTCATGTATGTACAGATGTTGTTCAAAGTTAGTAAATACATTGAACATAATAGTACCTTTGTGCATGTTATTTTGCTTTTAGATCAGATTCAAGATGGCTGACTGGTGACCATGGTGATATCTCTGATATGCCTTGACAAATCATGTTCAAAGTCCAATCATGTACATCACATACATGTATATACACTTGCATTTATTCCATGCCCCAATTCAAAATGGTCAAGCATTTCAAACATTCTGGTACTGGTTTGATTAAAAAAGTGCACATTCTGTGTCACAAAAGTTTAAATTCAAAATGGCTGACTCATTTCAGTTTTGTTTTCTACTGGACAACAGGGGCTGTATCATGTTAATGACTCATTTATTGATATATTTGTTAATTTATTTCTTACTCTCAAAATGTAAATTAGTCTAAGGCAAGTGTATAAGAAATTCAACATTTGTTGAATATTTTGCTTTCAGATAAATTTTTCCACAAGTCCAGGTAGTGAGAGAACACACTGGTCACAAACTGTATTTACATTTGAAAACCCAATGGATTTCAAAAAAGGTGAGCAATTAGTTTTGTTTATAAAAATATATTTTGATATCTGTATCAAACTCCCTAGCATCCTGCAGATTATAAATATGTTATAATTGCACCAAACACCTTAGTTATCTTTAATAATCTCACTATTATATTTGCTCACTAGTTATCTTGCAATAATCTCACAATTGTATTGACTCCCTAGTTATCTTGTAATAATCCTACAATTGTATTGACTCCCTAGTTATCTTGTAATAATCTCACAATTGTATTTGCTCCCTTGTTATCTTGTAATAATCTCACAATTGTTTTTGCTCCCTAGTTATCTTGTAATAATCTCACAATTGTATTGACTCCCTAGTTATCGTGTAATAATCCCACAATTGTATTTACTCCCAGTTATCTTGTAATAATCTCATAATTGTATTTGCTCCCTAGTTATCTTGTGATAATCCCACAATTGTATTTACTCCCTAGTTATCTTAGAATAATCTCATAATTGTATTGACTCCCTAGTTATCTTATAATAATTCCACAATTGTATTTACTTTA